AAAAAAGTTGATAAAAGGCCAACCATCTAAATAATTCGATAGTAATATTTTTTTGTTGAAAATAAAAAATATAAAATTAAAACCGTAATATTTTTTTGTTGAAAATAAAAAAAATCCAAAATTACAGCCGTAAGATATGGAAATGAAGTTGCTTCCTGTTGTGTAACCAATATAAAAAAATTGATAAAACTTACATTATGTTATATTGTAAGAATTTATTTTAGACTGAGGGAAAAAAAATGGTAGATAAATTAATCTCATACAGTAACCAGATCTCCATCGCTGATCCCCAATCCCATGGCTTGGCGCCTCTTCTTCCGCAAGCCCCTGTTAAACCCTAACACCCCTAAACCCCTTTCTTTTTCCACCTCCTTCCTCATCACCAAGATCCCCAAGAAGCACAGGCCCAAGCGTCCCAAGCCCGAGTCCCCACGCACCCGACCCGTACAACCAGACTCCACTCGGATCCCCTACTTCGAGTCCCTCCTCCAGCGCGATGCGGCCTTCCGATCCGTCACCAAATCCAAAGAATTTCTATCCAAGCAGCCCGAGCAAGTCCTCCGTCTCGACGACGCCGGTAAGCTCTATCGCGAGCTTGGATTTCCCCGCGGTCGGAAGGTCTCCCGGTTCATCGCCAACCATCCCTTGGTCTTCACCACTTACCGCCACTCTGATGGAAAAATGTGGGTCGGATTCACTGATTTCATGGAGGAGTTGTTACAAGAAGAGAGGTCGATTATGGATGCCATGGAAGCGGATAGGGTCACCAAAGTCCGTAAATTGCTGATGATGGCCAAAGACAAGCGGATTCCGTTGAGCAAGATTTATCATACGAGGTTATTATTTGGGATTCCTGAGAATTTCAGGGACCGAGTAGAGAAATATCCCGATTATTTTCGAATTGTGTTAGAGAATGATGGGAAGAGAGTGCTTGAGTTAGTGAATTGGGACTCTAATTTGGCAGTGAGTGAGCTGGAGAGGGAATTCATGGTGGATGAGGATAAGGTGAAGAAGGCATTCAAGTTCCCTGTGAAGTATGGGAAAGATTTGGGATTGGAAGAGGGTGATATGAGAAAGCTTAACTTGTTGAACACATTGCCATTGGTTTCGCCATATTCAGATGGGTGGAAGTTGGATTTATGGAGTTTCGAAGCAGAGAAGTACAGAGTTGGGGTTATACATGAGTTCTTGAGCTTGACATTGGAGAAGAGAGCGTCGATACATCATATTGTGGAGTTCAAAGAGGAGTTTAGCTTGACCAGGCAGACTTACCAGATGCTTAAGAAGCAGCCCAAGACGTTTTATTTGGCTGGTACAGAGATGAATTGGGCAGTTTTCTTGAAGGACGGACGTGATGAGAAAGGGGATTTGATTAGCAAGGATCCACAAGTTGTTTTTAATGAAAAGCTGTATAAGTATGCTCAAATGAAAGGAGGGGAATTTAGTTCTTTGGGAGTGAAGAAATGAGTGAGATTGGCATCATTTTCAGTCTTATGATGCGGAGAAAGTTGCTGATGGGAGTCACAACTGAATAAAAGGGTCCAAAATGTGCTTTCAGTGCTTAGGTTTAAGGCAAACATGCATTCTAGGTACCAAATTTTGGTTAAGCCATACTGTTTTTTGTGCTATCAATTTGAAATTTTTGTGCAGAAATAGTGTTTTAGATAAAGCATTGAACATGTCTCATTTCTTATTCATGGATGAAAGAATTCAAATTTGATCATGCGACATGAAAATCTTCCATGGTTGGTAGACTTTCCATTTAAAATTTGAGCTCAAATTCATGTAGACCTGTATGTCAAAATAAAACCCTTTTTCATTCCATACTTGGTAATTTGATATTCAAGAGCTGTTTCTTTAGAGGCATGAATTTGCCAATGTTTTTTGTTCGACACTAAGTAGTATTTGTACACACCAGACCTAGAAGTTGTTCCTTTGATTCTAATTTGTTATTTATACCGAAGAAACATCCTCTCACATGGTTTCTTTGTTTGGAAACTTGTCATTTGTTTTTGCAGATATATATATTTTTTTCATTATCAATTCACTTATTATTGGGATAGGCTGGTTCTGGAATTTGTCTTAGCAAGTATAGGAAGAAGAACCGGCCATCATGGATTTAGTAATATCATTAGAGATAAGGTGAGAGGGTGGTAGTCAACAACAGAACAGAGAGATTTGATATTTGATATATGACTTGAGGTCATTTGATGGTGAATGAAAATAAAAAGTAAAAATTGACCACACAAATTAGACAAAATATAGATTCATGTAAGTGCACAAACTGAGTAGCGTTATGCCATAACAAGCCAAAAACAATAGCTGCAGAAATTGACATTCTACTGCACCACACCATACTGCACTTGAATTAGAATACCACAACCACACTAGACATGGAAAGGAGGGAGAGGCAGAAAAAGAAGGTGGGAGGATTTAGAGAACGAGGGAAGAAAGAAACTTTCACTTGTATTTTAAAGGTAGATTCCCCAGGAATGAGAAAAGATCTAATGAGATGAAGACGCTTGCGCAGACAAAAGTGTCTTTGTAGGCAAGTGACGACGACTTTGGCTTTTGGATTTGTCTCTGCTCTTGTGCCCAGCTGCAGCACTGCTCCTTGACCTATTGGAGGAGGATATCAATCCATTTTGGCTTACTCTCCTCACTGTATTTCTTCGAGAGCCCCCGTTTCTACTTCCAAGAGCAGCTTTGGCAACACTATCGGTGAGAACTTCCCTTGCTCTTTGAGGTTTGATGGATTGCTTGTTCAGGTACACTAGCTTTGGAAGGAGACTACATACTGCCTTGCGCAGTTGGTCATCACTGATGTTGTTCTGAATAGGATTCCCCAACAGATTCAAAGCTTGCAATGAGTTGTAGTTTGCAACAAGCTGCCCTAGAGCTTTTGTTGTAGTTATCTTGTTGAAGCTCAGGTCGAGGACTGTCAACTTTAGGAGCCTGTGCAGTCCTTCAACATCACTAATCTTATTCCCAGCAAGATAGAGTTCTTTGATCAGTGTAGAGTTTGACAACCCTGATATCATCAAAATCCATTGCAAAATTAGAATAATATGCAATTTAATATAGGAGATGACCTTGAGAATTTTTCATCAGAAAATCTGGGTTTTGTTCAGATCTGAAAATGGGTTAACTGAAGATAATTACCATGTCCAATTCGAGAAATGCGATTGTAACTAAGATCAAGTACTTTCAATCGAGTCAATTCTCTGAGTCCTTCAATAATGTTGATCTTGTTCTTCGACAGGTTGAGTGAATGGAGGCCCTTTGGTAGTGACCCTGGAGTAATGTGGACTGCAAAACAGCCATGCTTCAGAGTTTCAAGTTCAAGTATGAGCTAAGAAAGTATCTCATATTAAAGCAACCCTTGCCTACTGATAACATACCTATGAGGTTATTTGACAAGTTGACAGATCTAAGGCTGCAGAAGAGTGAGATGGATGGGATAGCTTTCAACCCTATGCCTGAAATGTGGGCCACAGTTGAGGAAGAATTAAGAGACTGAATTACATTATTTGCCTGCAATATCTCCTCTGACAGATTGATATCTTGATGCCGAGTCCACTGAACTGTGCCTATTGCTAATGATTTACCACCATCAGGGGAAGGTGGGAAGTTGATATCCTCTTCAGTGTTTGCATCATCATTAGCTAGAAGAGAGATTTGGGTATCAAGACCTCTTACCCACTCCTCCACTCTTGTGAAGGACGTTGATTCACCAGGGAAAGCAACCCATTGGTTCTGGGTCCACAATTCAGAAACTCCACTGTGAAAACCTTTCCAGCTTTGGTTGTCATTGCAGTTGCCATGGTGGACTTTGTTCAAGGACTCCCCACTAAAGGATTGGGGTGATTCCATCTTGCTTTGTTTCATTGCTTGATTCAGCTCGAGTGTATCTGAAGAGTACCCACCTTGCTGGTTCTTAGTAGAATTGACAAGGGATGGCTGTCTTTTAGCTGTCCAAGGTTTGTGCAAGTTCCGGTGGCTCCAGAGGAACAACTTCCACCAAAGCTTCCTACTCCTTGAAGGCAGAACTTGACTGGAAGAATGCTTCTTCAACATCACTCTGTCAGCACTTCCATGGGTCAGTACGGAAAGAGGGCTTCCAGTAATAAAATCCGCCCGCATCCTTGTGGACAAGTCTTGCAATTCTTCAAAAGACTGAGATTTTGAAGGAGGCAACTGATCAGCTATCTTTCTTAGCACATCCCTTGTTTCCAGATTAGAGCAAGAGCGCTTCAGCCGTGGTGAAGCCCAGAACTCAGCTGTCCCAATACCTGGATCACTAACATGTCCACTTTTCATTGTGTCACCACCCTTTTGAACATCCTTCTCAGCGGCAATCACCTCTTCCTTCAATTTGGCATCAAATGAATCAGAAGAACCCAACTCTGTGACTCTAAAATCAAACTCTACGTATGAATTGGCATGGGCATGGAGATCAAAGTCAGAGATTTCTCTCCTAATTGAGGCATTCTCTTCTTGTTCGTCTTCCCCTTCATAGGATACCTCTGTTGCATCATCCTCAACAGGACTCTCTTGGTTCAATACCTTGGCATCACGAAGAGAATCTTTCTCAGGTTCAGAAGGTACAGAGGCTTTAGACAAGGTTGAGTTCGCCTCATCCAACCCAACAGGCTTCACTTGTTGTATCTGGAGAGTTCTAAGCGCTTTTATGTAATCTGCTTTTGTAGACACATCATCCCTCTGCAACTTATCAAAGGGAAAAACGAATACAGAGATTGTTAAATTCACAAAATTCAACACATTTGTGATGTGAAGTTCAATTGATTCTCACCTTATCTCTCTTCTTCGTGGCCAATCGAGGGAAACAATTTAGTTTTGCCATCTCTGATTCTGATGCCTCAAAAATGCTTGAAATCAGTACACCCTATATATGTTGCAGTATCTTCTCCCTCTCCTGGTGTTTACCCTTTTCGATATGCTCACATCCCTAATAGCTACTTAATCAACTCTCAACAGTAAAGATTATTGAATGCAGCGAATGGCATTGGAGAATGAATGGATCAAAGGTTAGCCATAATCAATCGGAAGTTGCCAAACCAATAAACGAGTATTGGAATGTGAATGAACACCGGAAAAGAAAGGCTCGACACCTTCTCCGGCAGCAGCAGAAGATTTTCCTAAAGCGTCGGCCAGAGTTGAATATCCAGCTGCTTCTCTCCGGAAGCTGCAGCGAATCTTTGCTCGTTACTTCTCCTGCAAATTCACAGAAGAACCAAAAAAAAAAAAAAAAAAAGGGAAATCGGCGTGAGAAAATTCCAAATTCTCCACCAAGACAATTCCTTCATTAAACAACATCAAAAATTCATCATGCGAACCGTAGAATTTCATTACAAGAAGATTTTTTTTTTTTTTTTCACCAATTTCAAATCTGCTAGACAAAAGAAACTCATTCCAAACTCCACGAAGAACCAGATCTTTCTGTTAAAGATAAATTCCCAGGAATAATCATGAAGCATAGATAGATTAGAATCTTGTGTTTACCTGCAGGAGCTGCATTCCGCTAGCTTGTCGAATGAACGGCAAATTGACGGAACTTCTTCCGCAGGGCCCGAATCGAACGGCTGTGTAGATCTTGGCTGTAGAAAAAGAACGACGAAAAAGGCAGAGGAGAAGAGGTGGTGTTTTCCTCTTTCCTTCAGAGGCGTGTGTACTGTGTTCAGATGCGAGGCTGGAAAAGCCTGGAAATAACCCGAGAAATATATTACATGGTCACGGTGTCACCTACCCCGGGAATTATTCGCTAATAGTAAAATTATAGTAATAATAATAGTAAGGGTTTTTCCACCACTTATGTGTAATTATTATACTATTTTTATATTAATTAGTATTGAAAATATAATAATTATCATGAATGTTATTTGTAATATCATATAAATCATTTTAATTAAGTAGTTTTTTTAAATAAATATTATTTTTTAATATTAATTAATATGAATATTAAAAATGTACAATAATTACACTTTTAAAAAATATGATAGAAAAACTTTAATACTAACAATAACAAGGAACAATAATAATATACCGAAACAAAATTTTTATGTATTTCTTATTTGATTTATTTATTTCAATTTATTTGTTTACAATTATTAAAAAAATTTATATATTATAAAAATTAATACTTATTTTTTATTTTTACCTTTATTTATAATTAAACAAAAAAAATTTAATTAATTTATTACCTCTTTTGACATAAGAGTAAAATTGATATTAGCATGTAATATCTTACTAAAATAAAAAATAAAAAAATTAAATGAGACTATCCTTATTTAAAAAGTAAAAAAAAAAACTAAATTAGACTAAGGAATAACTTTTTATACAATTTTAATATATTATTAAATATGTAAATATATATAATATTACAGATTCTAATAAAATAAAAAGAGATAATTATGGCTAACGACATAAATAATTAAGTGATTATTTTCTTTTGTTAAGAATAAGAAATATTGAGTTTAAATCACATAATATGTGAGTGGGGTAGAATAAAAGAAGAGAAATGATTGCCTCTTATTGTATAATCAAAATAAAAAAAAAACAATTATGACATGCAACATTTTATTAAAAAGGAGGTTTTCTAACGTGAGGGTGTAATTTTTTACTTTTACTTAAATAATTATCTAATTAAAATAAATTATATAGTATTACTGATAACATTAATAATAATTTTTATATATTTTAATATTAATTAATATAAAAAATATAATAATTGTACCTTAATTATACTTTACGACATAAGTTAAAAAATAATATAATTTAATACAAATTAAATTACATAATAATAAACATTGAATAAGTGGAACCCTTATAAAATTAAGAGATTTATTTTATTAATAATTTTTATTTTACAACTAAATATAACCTAAATAGTAAAATAAAGTTACTTTAAAAACTTATATCTCATTCATTAAAAAAAAAATTACTCTGACTAACAACAGTACCACCGCACATCAGAATATTATTGTGGGCCACATCTGAGGCCCACTCACACTCTGGCAATCCGACATCCTTCACGCTGTATCGGGTCCCACAGTTATTCCACCTTCTGAAATTATTCTGCACCGTGCAATCACTTGTGGACCCATTTAGGGAAGAGCTCAACGGTACTGATTTGATGAATGGAGATATTTTTGCTACAGACAGAGCTGTTTCTGATTTTCATAATCTTAGTGGGCGAGTAGGGTCGTACGGTAACGGATTGATTGCTGCGTACGAGTTCGTACGATTGTTAAATCCGTAGGTGATTCTGATCTCATACCGTCGATTTGATTCTGTGCACTGAGTTCTAGCTGCATTCAATTGAATTTTCCTGCTATATACGTTGAATTCTCCTGATTTGAGCACCAAAAATACGATGTCAGCGTTATATCATGGGTCTGATAATTTAATTTGATTTTAAATTAAGAGTAATTATAGGTTTCCCTCGTGCATTGCTTTAAGAGTTGAGAGCAGTGTCGATAGTTTTCTTGTCTAAGATTTTTTATAACATAAAAGTTTTTTCATCCCTTCTTTTTTTTTTTATGCCTCTTTTCTTCTTATTCCTCCTTTTCTCCCCTTGATCTTCTTCTTTTGGTTGTTGCTCTCTTGCTTTGAAAACTTTAATCCAAAGGATCACAAGGCAGCAACTTTTTGAGTTTTTTTAAGATTTACATTTGCTAATTTTCAAAGGTTGTAATTAGAATTGATCTTGCTGGTGAAGTGGGTTTCTCTTATTTAACGAGCAGTTATCTCATTTTGGTGCATCTCCTCGGATGGGATCTTGACGAGGTCAAGTTCGACGAATCTAGTTCACACCAGTTTTCGATCAGCTAGCCGATTTTCGAAGGAAAGGGATGCTATTGGTAAAGCCGACTATGGTCTGCATGGGAAGCTTGATTTTCAAGCCGGCAAATGGGCTTTAGTTCCCTTCATGAGTTTCGACAGCATGGGTTTGAAGAGGATTGACAAAGATGGGTACATGATTGGGAGTATATGGAGGTGATTGGGGGGTCTTGTGCTTGTTAGGAAAAGGCCCATACCCCTCTTAGTTGTTGTTTACACCCATTTTTGCAAAAAAAAAAAAAAAAAAAAAAAAGAATGGTGCCACGTGTCATCCATGTTGGCAAGAATTTCATTAGTTGAAAGTTGTTGGAGTAAATCTCTATAGATAAGGTTGAGTGGTTATTTCCATAACAGTATCAAAGCCGTTCGTTTGTTGTGAGCTTCTAGGAGGATAATCGGTAGCATCAACAAATTAATCGGGTTGTTTCAAATTTCACGCTGCCTTTGGTTTCCAAGATTACTGCCGCAAATCTCCAAGCATGTTGCCAAAGGGTGTTTATTGCTACAAGTATGCAAAGAAGAAACGAAGCAAAAGAGATTATCCTCTCACACAACTAGCCCAGCACTATCTACATTTTAGTTTTACAAGCAATGTCTTAGTTTAGATCAAGTTTTCTCAAACAGTTTTCCTAATTTAGTCTTTAGCTCTACGCTGCCATTAGTTTTAACTCTGATTTTTGTTATTTCGTTATGAACATCTCCACTCGATGTATTTAGTTTTCTGCAATTCAATTTATTGCACTTTGCCCCAAATTCATCTTTTTAGCTTCTTTTAAGTTTTGTTTTATACTTCATCTTGTATTTCATTCTTTACGTTTTCATGCTTTCGCGACGGCATCACGCTTCCACTCTGCAATTTAGTTTTCTCGCCATGCACTCTCTTTTTTCTCTTTTCCTTTTTTTTCCTCTTTTATTTTGATCAACAAACTAATCTTTTGGCCTTAATTGTGGGAAGTCCCTGATGTTCTTCCAGGGCAATTATTTATGGACCTTTATGCAGGAAGGCACCCCCGTTTCTATGATAATCTTTTAACCAGAGCGCATCTCATTGTTTATTTAACCGGTGCTCTTCCATTGACTCGTAGCTGAGTTCCACGCTTGGAAGTAGTGAAGGTCACCAGGAATCTTTCTTTCTCACTTTGAGCAAAGTGAGTGGCACGCCTTTGTAGTCTTATCTGTCACGTGGCCAAAAAGGGAGATTTTGGAGACAATAGTTGTTTTTCTTTAAGAACAAGTAGGGCGACAACTTGTGAGTTGGGGCTTGTTTGTTGTCGGAATCCCTTGCTCTCCCCAAAAAACTAGTTAAATGGGTGAGGATGTCCAGTAGTTCTTAATGCTCATAGTAAATCCTTTTGCTACATTAGTAGCCCTATTTAGCCCATGCATTAATTGTAAATTCAATCCCTAGGTATAGTTTAAGTCTATTATTAGTACTGTAGGTTATGCTTTTGATTTTGTCCTTAAGTTATTTTGATTTTAGTTATATGCCATGCAATGAGATTCTGCTGTAATTTCCTATTACTTAATATATCTTTCCATTTACCATAAAAAATTAAGAGTAATTATATAAAAATAGTTTTTAATATAATTTTTATATGTTATTAAATAAATATATATACTTAATATTTAAAATTTTAAATACATAAAAATAATTAATTATTTAGATAATATGTAAAATATAAAATATTATATAAAAAATTACCTCTAAATCATTTAAAAAATAATAATTTTAGAAAATGCTTAGTGCATATGTTATTGTATAGATTATATTATTTTTAACCATTGGTGAAAGATATGCTTCAAATATTAGAGAACCTACCTCCTCTATCAATAATTAAATGAAATATAAGTAGGTTGTGTTTTACTTTTTTTCTCTTAAATTGAAATGACAACTTACTAAATTGATTTGTTTTCAAAACTGATTCAAATTATATCTAAAATTTTTGCTACCTTTAAAAAATTATATTAAGAGAATAATTTGTATTAGTTCTAATTTTTATGAAAAATTAAAGTCTTAATTTTAAAAACAACAACGTTTAATAAATATTTTAAAAATTAATTATTAGATTTAATGTTCTATTAATATAAATCATACATATTAATTTTTAGATTAATTAAATATATAACTAATTCATTTATATTATAAAAAATTTACTACTGTTAAATAGATTAAAAAACATAAATTTTTTAACCAAATAACTATAGATGTTAAATCAACTTAAAAATTAATATATATAATTTATATCAATGAAATATTAAATGTAATAATTAGTTTTTGAAAATATTCATTTGAGGGTGGTATTTTTTAAGCTGGGACTTTAATTTTTTTTTATTAGAATTGAGAGTGATATATATTATCCTCTTATATTGAATTGATTTAAAAATTTTCATTCAAAAGTAGGAAATTGACTCTAAATTGATTTCATAATTCAATTATTTTATTAGAAATTGTGGAAAATCAATCGTTTCTAGTGATTAAAATATTAGAAATAATAATTAAATGATTTAAATAATGTTAATTAATTAACACACAAGAAAAATTCATGGGTATTTAAATTATTTTATAGGTAATTCTATTATTTTGAATGTCAACAAGTCTTAATTTTCACTTTTTAATTATATTAACTTGTTTCCTCATAATCCTTAGTTAGCCTGCCTTGTGGCAAATGTGCTTAAGCATGTCACTTGTTCAGTGTAAAAGCAATAAAAGGACTTTCTTGATGATCCTTTTCTTTTAAGTAGTTGACCTCCAAGTTGGATGGTTGGAAAAATGTCAATTTAACAAAAATATGCATCCTGGACCAGCCAATTGGAAGGATGAAAGTATGCTTTCTTGC